GTACGCGAGCGCTGCTGCCTGTGAGAATGCACCAGCCTCCATCAACTACGCATGTGTGAGCTGCTTCTCGAGCGACTCATCGCGGTTGAAGGCCTCGTTGAGTTCAACACGAAGGGACCGCGGCGCCGAGAGGACTCGTAAGTGGACTCGTGCCCGCCACCAGCCCCACACACCAAAAGAAAAGGTCGCAGAAGCGACGATGTTGAGACCCGCCCTCACTCAAAGGTCGCGAGGCGCGCGTCGATGCCCGCGAGGAGGCGGACCCGGTGCTCCGAGTCCGCCGCGGAGAGCAGCGCCTCGTCGCCGACCTTGGTCACGGGCGTCAGGTCCGACGACGTCGAGAGGACGTAGGCCTCGTCGGCGTCCAGCAGGCTCGAGAGGCGGTGGACGCCCTCGTCGACCTCGTAGCCCGCGGCCGCCGCGGCTTCGAGCGCGAGCGCGGATGTCACGGACTCGAGCATGCCGAGCTCGCGCCACGACGGCGCGTGGACGACGCCGCCCTTCAACCAGAGCACGGCGAAGTTCGGCCCGTCCAACACGACCTTGTCCTCGAGGGGCCCCGCGTCGTCCGCGCCCCACCCCCGGCCGAGCAGCACGGCGTCGTCGAAGCCCGCCGCGGCCGCGAGGCGCTTGCTGTGAACGTTGGCGCCGTAGGCGAGCCACTTGATCGTCGCCCAGCGCTCCGGCTCGAAGCCCGCGGGGTGCCACGGCGCGACGAGCGGGAAGAGCGTGCGAGACGCGTGCAGCGTCGTCGGCTGCCAGAGCGCGAACGTCTTCGGCGGCGCGTCGAGCGCGGCGCCCAGGTGGTCGCCGTAGCCCGGCGACCCGCCGCCCCGCGTGACCATGAGGCGCACCATGCCGCCGTGGCCGCCCCCGGCCGCGGCGTCGCGCAGGATCCGCTCGACGTCCGCGCGCGGCGGCAGCGGCAATTGAATCGCCGCGGCGGACCGCTCGAGGCGGTCGAGGTGCAGGTGCACCGCGCGCGGCACCGGGCTGCCGTTCCGGTCCCCGACGACGCGCACGACCTCGAAGACGCCGTCGCCGCGCTGGAACGTCGTGTCCCAGACGCTGCAGGAGATCTTCGTCGCGTCGGCGGCGACGCCGTCGACGGAGGCGAAGGTGGAGAAGCCGCGCGCGCGGCGCGCGGCGGCGGACAGCGCGCGCAGCATGGCTCGAACAGTTGGGCGCGCGCGCACTAGCCAGCTGCGAGGCCTGTGGCGTGAGATGTGGCAGCGCGAGGCGCTCCGATGGCCGCTGTCTGTCGCACCCGTCGCCGCGCGCGCCGCAGGCCTCGAGCGCTATGCGGTGGCCATGGCATACGGTCCGGCTTGGGAAACTTAGACGCGCGCGGCGATCGGCTGAGACGCGCGGCGGCAAAATCCCGAAGCGGCGGCGGTCGCGCGAGCGGCGGCCCTTGGCGGCCGCGACGTCGCGAGCGAGCGGCCCTCGGCTGGCGCTCACGCGGTCTTGGCCTTGGCCGTGCCCTTGAGGGCGAGGAGCGCGAGGCCCGCGCCGACGGCGTCGAGGACGATAAGCGTCTTGTTGAAGGGGTGCGAGACCGCGTGCCACGGGGCCTCGCCGAGCATGCCCTCGTGGTGCATGTGCGTCAGCCCCGCGAGGCCCGTGCCCAGGGCGCCCACGAGGAGCGCGCCGGGGCGGAGCGCCGGGAACTTGAGCGCGGCGCCGTTCGCGAAACCGATGGCGATCCAGAGCATGCCCTCGAGGCGCGTCGTGAGCGTGAACGTGTGCACGAGGTTCGCGCCGCTGGGCTTCTTGGCGACGAGCTCCATGAGCGCCTAGGCGGTAATATTTCTTTACAGATGAGATTTCAGTTGTGATCAATACCTGGCACGTCGACCCGCCGACGTCGAAGGCGCCGGCGATGGTGCAGGGCTCGAAGGTGCCGGCGGCGACGAAGCCGACGAAGAGGCCGTAGAGCAGGAAGAGGTAGCCGGAAGCGATGAGCTCGAGGAGGGCCTGGGGCGGGCCGTAGGAAACCTCGGTGGGAGCCATGGTCGGAGCGAGGGGGTGTGTGGAGTCCTTTCGCCAGGCGGGCGTCGCGTTGAAGAAACGCCAGGCACCAGACCGCGAAGGTCGGCGCGGGGAGGAACGCCGCGGCGGCAACGCCAAGGCCAATCGCGACTCGCCCGCGCGCAAGCGCAGCATCTCGGGCTCGGGCGACGACGCGGCGTAAATAATTAGGCAATATCTCGCGCGTCGAGGCGCGCGAGATTCTCCATAGCGAGCTCGTTGCCCTTGGCAGCGGCGCGCTCCAACCAGAATCTGGCCTTGCCGAGGTCGACTTCCGTGCCTATGCCATCGTAGAAACAGGCGCCAAGGTTATGCTCTCCATCGGTATATCCTTGATTCGCCGCGAGCACAAAGTACCGGACCGCCTCTTCAAATTTCTCCACAGAATGAAGTAAAATCCCTAAATTGCATTGCGCGACCGCGTCGCCCCGATCTGCGGCCGTGCGAAACAGCTGCATAGCCTTCTTCTTGTCCAGCTTGACGCCACTCCCATCCCAGTACAATTTTCCAAGGTATTTCATCGCGTCCACATCTCCGAGCTCCACAGCGCGCAGGTAAATCTTCGCGGTTTCTTATCGGATTTCACAAGGCCGAAGTCACCATAGCGGTACGCGTCTCCCAAAAACCTAATCGCTTCCGGCACGTCGTTCTCCACGTGGCGGCGAAGACGCGCGAGTGCTTCCGCATGGGTTTTTGCGCACGGTACACGACAGAGGGGACACGCCTCGAGTCCGATCTGGTCGTCGCACGATCGGCAGACCCTCCGGCAGCAACAGACGAGAAGCGCACCCGCAGTATTCACGTCCCACTCCTCGAGACAGATCGGGCACCGCGAGCCGTACCGCGCCGAGAGCGGCTCCCGCTCCGGGTTCGCCTCGCGTCGCACGCGGGCCGCCTCGTGTTCCGCCGCGATGCGCGCGCGGATCTCGTCGGCGTGCGACCGCGGCGCGGGGCCGTAGAACACCTCGCGCGGTGGCGACGGCGGGGGCGTCGGCGCCTCGGCGCGCGCCGCCTCCGCGGCCTGGATCTTCTTGCACACCTTCCGGTGGCCCCGGTCGCGCCAGTCGATGCGTTGGCAGGCCGTCGAACAGTAGGCCGTCGTGCCGCACCCTCGGCAGGCCTTGGCCTTGTCGGCGCCGCAGATCGTGCAGGTCTGGAGAGTGTCGAGTTTTTTGCCCCTCGCTCGGGCCATGCGATTCTCATACTCCAACTTCTTCTCCTGCCACGACATGACTTCGCGCGCGTCGCGAGCTCGTACGTCGTCCTCGTCGGACCTCAACAAGTCTCAGCAGGCAAAATCGCTCAAAATCTTAGCCCAGGCCTGAGCCCACGCCTAGAGCATCGCGTTCATGTCGTTCTCCATGCCCCCCTCGGCGGCGTCCTCGTCCTTTCGCCAGGCGGGCGTCGCGTTCAAGAAACGCCAGGCACCAGACCGCGAAGGTCGGCGCGGGGAGGAACGCGGCGACGACGACGCCAGGGCCAAGCGCGACTCGCCCGCGCGCAAGAGCAGCATGTCGGGCTCGGGCGACGACGCGGCGTAAATATTTTTAGGCTATACTCGCGCGTCGAGGGCCGCGAGGGCCGTTATAGCTTCTTTGCGGCCCTTGGCAGCGGCGCGCTCGAACCAGTACCTGGCTTTGCCGAGGTCGACTTCCGTGCCTTTTCCGAGCGTGTAACAGCAGCCAAGGTTGTGCTCTGCACGTGTATAACCTTGATCCGCCGAGAGCGCGTAGTACGGGAACGCTTCTTCATACTTCTCCTCAGAATCAAGTAAAAACGCCAAATTGCATTGCGCGTCTGGGTGGCCCCGGTCTGCTGCCGCGCGATAGAGCCGCTCCGCCTTCTTCTTGTCCAGCTTGACGCCTTCCCCATGCTCGTACATTCTCCCAAGAGATACCATCGACCGCACATCTCCGAGCTCCACAGCACGCCGGTAGATCTTCGCGGTTTTCTTATCGGATTTCACGAGGCCCAACAGACCGTGGCGGTACGCATTTCCCAAAAACGTAATCGCTTCCGGCACCTCGTTCTCCACATGGCGGCGAAGACGCGCGAGCTGCTCCGCGTTATCTTCCGGGTACGGTAATCGACAGAGAGCACACGCCTCGAATCCGATCTTGTCCTCGCACGATCGGCAGACCGTTCGGCAGCAACAGCAACGAAACACGCCCAGAGTATTCACGTCCCACTCCTCGAAGCAGATCGGGCATCGCGACCCAAACCGCGCCGACGCCGGCTCCCGCTCCGGGTTCGCCTCCCGCAGGGCACGAGCGGCCTCGTGTTCCGCCGCGATGCGCGCGCGGACCTCGTCGGCGTGCGACCGCGGCGCGGGGCCGTAGAACACCTCGCGCGGCGGCGACGGCGCGCGCGTCGGCGCTTCCGCCGCGCGCTTCCGGATCTTCTTGCACGCCTTCCGGTGGCCCCGCTCGCGCCAGTCGATCCGTTGGCATTCAGTCGAACAATACTGTGTAGTTCCGCACGGGCATTTCAGCAAAGTTCTCGGTTTCGCCCCACAAATCGTGCACGTCAAACGCAGCGGTATCGCTTTCGCCCGCGCCTTCTTCTCTTCGTATTCGCGCTGCTTCTCGACGTACTCGGCCTTCATGATCGTTTGCGGGCGGCGCGCGGGCTCAGGCGTCGCGGGCGCAA